GCCTAATCATAAGGAAAACATCAGAAAAAAACAAATGATAGATATCCACAAAATAGCTTAGCAGAATTTTTCAAAACACTCAAAGTTAAGAAAAACAAGGGAAGACCAAGAAACTGTCACAGACAAGAGGAGATTAAAGAGACATAACACTAAATGGAGCGTTGGGTCCTGAACGTGATCCTGGAACAGAAAGATCTTAGCGGAAATCTAGTGAAATCTACGTGAAGTCTAGTTTAGGCAATAGTAACGGATCAGTGTTCATTTCTTATTTTTGACAACTGTACCATGGTGATGTAAGATGTGAATATTAGGGGACACCGGCAGAGCGGGTTTAAGCAACTCTGTACTATCTCTGCAACTTTTTTGTAAATCTAAAATTACTCCAAAATAAAAAGGCTTATTATCAACAACAAAAGCAAAAATTTATGAACCTGGAGTGCAAACAGAACCTTTTTGAAAAAGCAGCAGCAACTATTCCCCTTTACATAACTCAGTTACTGAGGGGTGTGCAGTGCTGGGAACTCGGGTGTTGGGATGCAGAGAAGGCAGCCCGGGGCCGGGCGTGCGCGTCCAGGCGCTGCGGGGGCCCAGGCTCCTCCCCGGAGCCGCTGGGGCGCCGGACTCTGCCCTGGGCGCGCCCTGCGGGGCGGAGCCACCAAGCCCGGCCTGGCCGACCCGGCCCGAGGTCCAAGCAGAGCGGAAGAGCAGCGCCTGGACCCTGCGCTCGCTGAGCGCCCTCCAAGGTAGGCGAGCCCCTGCGATCTGCGGGCAGGTCAACCCTCCCGCCCCCCAGGTGAGTGGGTGTCCAGGTGCCCTTGGAGCTGCCCCCCCCCCCCAGCGCCGCCCAGTGTACCAAGGACATTTTCCTGTAAACGGATCCTTGGTAAGGAGCATATTCTCCCTGTAAACCTCTTTTCTGGGCTCGGATTCCCTGGGCGAGAAGTTTGTGCTCCTCCAGGAACAGAGTTGCCTTCCCCGAGAAAGCTTACCCCCGCCATAGCCCTGTGCACACCTGATTATTTATTTAGATTGGTGTTACGCAGTCCCTTGGTCAGGGGTCCCCGCGATTCAGAGGCGGTGGAGAAAGCCCTCTGGAAAACTTGCTGTCACCTGTGAACCCCCGCGTGGCAACTTTGACGGCTTACTGTGCCCGAAATTTTTAAGAGCATAAACAAATGAACGAGTGAAGGTGGTTGTCTTACCCTCCATTCATTCGTGCTGGCTTCTGTAGCTGTAGGTGTAGCGAAAAAACAGCCTACTGGCTGACAGTTTTCTACTGTCATGGGATTTTAGAGCTGAAAGTTACTCAGCCCCAGGCAATTTTGCAAAGGGGCAGTGTCATCTTACGGAAAGAACAGTACAGGACAGTGCAAAACTGGATGATGACATGGCTGTAACTTTTCAACCTTCTTCGAAAGGGAAAATAAATTTATATATACATATATATAGACACACATATATATACATATATATATGTGTGTGTGTGTATATATATATAAGCAGAAGAAGCCGTTAGCTCCAAATGTAGCTGAAGCTGTGTCTGTTTACCATTTTCACTATAGTTGTTTGATTTAAGAATCAAAACCTTTTTTACTTCTTGGTATATATAGACTAGATGAAGTGTCCAAAAGGGAATTACTTCTCATTTGCAATTGGGAAAAGATAATCTGTCTTTTTAACCTAATGCTATTAAATATTCAGTTCTGCAGAAGTCTGGCTTTTCAGAAATATGATCTGAGCTGGAGTTTCAGGTACCCTAGCACACACAATTGGTGCTGTTGTTTCTTCCTGCTGGGCTCTCCCCCCTCGCTCTCGCCCTACACTGATAATTTGAGAGTGAAGGGCCCTGACACAGAGGAATTTGCACCTAAGCAGAGACTTCTCAACCACTTACAGAAAGAATGAAAATGGCTTACACTTCCTGTGACCTAGGCAAACTTCCCAAGGTTTTTACCTTTGTGATTTGCTAAATAAATTTAGTAACTAAACCTGCACTAACTAAAAAGAGATTTTTGAAATAAAGACAGACACTATTTCAGTTGTATTATTCACCTTTATGATTCTGAGAATTAATGACAGGCATGTTATTTGTTAGCGTATTGATTTATAATGTGCTGGACAGTGGGCTTGAGTTGTAATCCCAAATCTGGACAAAGCCGGAAGAGCTAAGCTAGATTTGGCCAAAACTGAAAAGTGAGGTGTACATTTATTTGTTTAGAATAATGGCTGTAAAAGGGAACAACTGAAGATTTCTGAAGGGAATGTCATTTAAAGTAGTGGCTTTGACTCTCTGAGACATTTACATCAAAATTAAATGGCCATTTATTGATAGAAAAGCATTTCAAAATGGCAACATGTTACTATCAATTTAATAGCATGTTTAAGTAAATTTACATTTTACTAAGTGTGAAAACAGCCACCCACTGAATTTGGAAAACAAAAGCACAGTGTGTGTATGTGTGTGTGTGTGTGTGTGTGTGTGTACACTCGGTTTTAGAAAATATTTGGTGCATCTGTGGATTTTCGGGCCTAGTCATATATTCACTGAACGAATATTTATTTTGTAGGGCACTATGTTCTTTCTAGGAGACACAGGGGGATACAGCTTTGTGTAAATAAGACACATTCCTGTCCTCATGGAATTTACACAACTTTGGACTCCTCCGGGACACCCCGAGGCCATAGATTAGGAACCACAGCAATCACCATTCATCACTTTTTGACAGTGACCAAAACTAGAAACTAGATTAGTTTCAAATCACAGACTCTTTTACACTGATTGAAATAGATTAAAAAATTGTAAAGGAACTTATACGTTATTCAAGTCAGTTTTCTCTTCTGCTTAGGCTGGGAAAGAATTTAGGGATCCTGTGTTCTGGGCTTAATATTATGAAATATTGAGATCTTAAACCTGAAATAGTTAAATATCAATTTCATGCAAATTCAATAAAAACTAAACTTGTAGTAGCAGATGCAATCATTTAGGGGGTGAAAAATTCAAATCGAGAAAATCCTATCCATCAAGTTATTTTTTTCCTGTAAATTAGAAAAACATGACTATAATTATTTTTTAACCTCAGAGGAAAAGAGTGACTTTATGTAAGGCATTCTTGCTTTTTTTTTTCATTTTGCTATTTTTAAAAACAGCTCTATTGGAGGTATAATTTACATACCATAAAATACATCCAGGTGTCCAATTCAGTGATTTTTTAGTAAATTTATGGAATTGTACAACCATTATCACAATCCAATTTTAGAATATTTTCATCATCCCCATCCTTCCCAAATCTCAAGGGCCTGTTTTCAGTCACTCACCATTCTCACCCCCAGCCCCAGGCAACCACTGATCTACTTTCTGTTTCTTTAGATTTGACTTTTCTGGACACTTCATACAATGAGATCATACAATATATGGTGTTTAACATCTGACTTCTTTCACCTAGAATAATGTTTCCAAGGTGCATTCAGGTTGTGGCATGTGTCACTGGTGGTTCCTTTTTATTGCTAACTAATGTTCATTCCATTGGATGGCTATGCCACATTTTGCTTACCAGGTGATGGGCATTTCTGCAGTCACATTGAAGGGGTAAGACAGATATTTTGGTCCAGCTTCCATGGTAGCATAATTTGAAAATAACTGATAGGAGGCAAACTTGTATTTATATTTATGAAAAATATATTCCTGATATGGATTACTGATATTTACCAAATGTCATCACTGTGATCTTTCTGTGATACTCCATGAAAATAGTAAATCGTAAATCCTGTGCCAGTGGCAGGAAGCATCGGTCATTTCATATTCTAGGTTGGACTTAGAAGACGTTTAAATCTTTTTTTTTTTTTTTAATGTGAGAATTTATTTTGCCTTTATTTTATTATTATTATTTTTTTTGCGGTACGCGGGCCTCTCACTGTTGTGGCCTCTCCCGTTGCGGAGCACAGGCTCCGGATGCGCAGGCTCAGCGGCCATGGCTCATGGACCCAGCCGCTCCGCGGCATGTGGGATCTTCCTGGACCGGGGCACAAACCCGTGTCCCCTGAATCAGCAGGCGGGCTTTCAACCACTGCGCCACCAGGGAAGCCCTTGCCTTTATTTTTGATAGATAATTTTGTTGGATATAAAATTCTTAGTTGACATTTTTTTCCCCTTCAGCACATGTAATGTCACTATCTCCTGACCTCCATTGTTTCTTTGAGAGGTCTGCCTTCAATTTTATTTTATTTTATTTTTTTAATTTTTTTTATTGGAGTATAGTTGCTTTACAATATTGTGTTACTTTCTACTGTACAGCAAAGTGAATCAGCTATACATATACATATATCCCCTCTTTTTTTGGGTTTCGTTCTCATTTAGGTCATCACAGAACATTGAGTAGGGTTCCCTGTGCTATACAGTAGGTTCTCATTAGTTATCTATTTTATACATAGTATCAATAGTGTATATATGTCAATCCCAATCTCCCAGTTCATCCCACCACCCCCCTTCCCCTTGGTATCCATACTGTGTCTCTATTTCTGCTTTGTAAATGAGATCGTCTATACCAATTTTTTCAGATTCCACATCTATGCGTTAATATACAATATTTGTTTTTCTCTTTCTGACTTACTTCACTTTGTATGACAGTCTCTAAGTCCATCCATGTCTCTACAAATGACCCAATTTCGTTCCTTTCTATGGCTGAGTAATATTCCATTGTATATATCTACCACATCTTTATCCATTCCTCTGTTGATGGACATCCAGGATGCTTCCATGTCCTGGCTATTGTAAATTGTGCTGCAATGAACATTTTGGTACATGACTCTTTTTGAATTATGGTTTTCTCTGGGTATATGCCCAGTAGTGAGGTTGCTGGGTCATATGGTGGTTCTATCTTTAGTTTTTTACGGGATCTCCATACTGTTCTCCATAGTGGCTGTATCAACTTACATTCCCACCAACAATGCATGAGGGTTCCCTTTTCTCTCCAGCATTTATTGTTTGTAGATTTTTTGATAATGGCCACTCTGACCGGTGTGGGGTGATACCTCATTGTAGTTTTGATTTGCATTTCTGTAATAATTAGTGACGTTGAGCATCTTTTCATGTGTTTCTTGCCCATCTGTATGGAAAGATGTTTAACTCTTGACGTTAACTTCCGTAGAGAGCCTATGTCTCCTTTGCTACGTTTTCTTCACAAATGATATGCATTTAAATTTGGGGGATTTTGATGAGTGTTTGGTCCAACAGTGATAACTGAACTACTCTTAAAGATATGAGCACTTCTTAATAACATATTTTAGTGGCACACTTAACATAAAGCATGAGTCATCTATAGCCTTAAGCCAAAAAGTAGAAGGGAGTGCATCTGGATTTACATGCTTTTCATTTTATTATTCTGTAGTTTCTATGACTGTGCTAAAGGATGAACCTGATACAGCTGTTTGTTGATTTACCAAATCAAGCACTAGTTTGAGCTCTTAAAATCTAAAAGAGAAGAAATGCCACTCCTTGTTCCTCCAGGACCTTTAGAGGAGCTAGACCAAAGTAATAAATTATTCCAGGTTCCTATTACGTGGTGGTGTTTCTTCTATGAGTAGTCTACAGAACAAATGAAATAAGAACTCTCTAACACTACAAAAACATTGGCTTTTGGTTATACGTCTCTTAGGAAGCCGGGACCTTGAACAGCAGTTCAGTCAGAGCTGTTTTCTTAATTACCCCCATTCACCCTGCTTTGTGCTAACTCTTAAGACAAATGCATTTTTAGTGGGTTACATTTGACAACTTATGCTCTAACATAGATTTCTCTAGTTGAGTGGAAACTTCTGTAAAATGTTGGCAGATTCTGTGAAACTAAAGAGAAGACACTATGTCTCTGAATGCCTGTAAGTTACTGCAAAATTGCAAGATCCTATGGGGAAAAAAAGAGCATTCAGATAACTTGAAGGTCTTTTTTATGGACAACTTGGAATGCAAGGATTTTAATTTTATGCTCCTAAAGTTTGAAAATAAGGTAGCCTAGGTTAAATAGTATAGTTTTCAGAAGCTGGATGTGCTCAATTGGAGCTCAGTTTGTCTGCTGGTAATATCAAAACAACTTGCTGAGCTCGTGGCTCATAACACTAATGTTTTGCTGATCTGTGGTTAGATGAATTAAGTCTCTGTTGGCAACGTCTCTCTCCCTCTCTTTCTCTCTCTCTCAACTTGGTAAGAATTTAAAAATTGCTATAACAAATGTATTTTTCTAGTCTTACACTGACAATGTCATTCCAATTGTCTCTTGAGAGTCAAATGTCAATTACAGGAATCCATCTTCATCCTTCTCACCTTTTGGAAATTGGAGTGGACATGCTCCCCCTGTTGTGTCTGTTCACCAACAGCAAGAAGGCTCGCTCAAGCATTGAGCTGTAAACTTCTTCTAGTTATTTTGGTGAGTTCACTCACGCATCACTAACGGTCATGTGATCTGGTATAAGGAACTTGGTTTCACCCAGAGCCAGAAGCTGCTTCTCAGCCTTGTATCTTTCTATTAGCCCCTGGACTTTGGTAGGATGCCGCACTGGGATCGGTCTGACCTCTTCCTGATATAGGAGGATGGGCAGAGGGGGCAGTGAAGCACAGGGTCCGGGCTGCTTCAGGGGGTGGTCAGTCTTAATAGACTTTGTAGTCACTGCCTCAATGGTCTATGTGTTTATGCTCTACTGTGAAGAATGAAAACATGCATCTAGACGATGATCAGAGAAGGAATGCGTAGATGAGATAAGGAGTTCTAGGTTCATGAATTAGATTTAAATCTTGTTGCAAATATCCTTGTATACTTCTTATATATTTTTATATATTTCCTCCTACTTTTCCACCTTAGTAAATAATAATGATTAACTTTCTTAAGATGTTTAAGATTTCCCTTGTTTTTGTCACAATATTGAATGTCATACTTCATGGACTATTCTTCTAGGGGCAACGGCACTAACTACCTGTCAGCAACTCAGTTACTTGCTTTTTTTTTTTTTTTTTTTCGGTACTCGGGCCTCTCACTGCTGTGGCCTCTCCCGCTGCGGAGTACAGGCTCCGGACGCACAGGCTCAGCGGCCATGGCTCATGGGCCCAGCCGCTCCACGGCATGTGGGATCTTCCCGGACCGGGGCACGAACCCGTGTCCCCTGCATCGGCAGGCGGACTCTCAACCACTGTGCCACCAGGGGAGCCCCAGTTACTTGCTTTTTAACAATTCTGATTCCGTCATTTTTTTTTTTTTTGCCATTTACACTTCTGGAGGGGTTAACAATTTGAATTAAGGAAAACAAATTCAGCTAATTGTGCCTTCCAGTTAGTTCTGGTATAATCAGTGAAGTTCCTTGGATTTTGAAATCTCCATTGCACTTTGCATTTTCTAGGGTGCTGTTGAATTACTGTTTAAAAAATAAAAGCATATAAATCCATCTTTTTTAGTGTAGAGTTCTGTAAGTTTTGACGAATGGTTACAATCATGGAACCTACATCACCTTCAAGATTTAGAACAGTTCCATTACCACTCTCCAACCCCCCAAAGTATTCCCCAATGTCTCTTTTGTAGTCAATCCCTCCCCCACTCTTAATCCCCAGTTCAGTTTTCTGGCCCTATAGCTTCAGATTTTCTAGAATGTCATATAAATGGGAGTATGGAATATGCATCCTTTTGGATTTGGCTGTTCTCAGTCAGCATAAGGCATTTGAGATTCATCTACATCGCTGTGGGTATCAGTAGGTCATTCTTTTGTGTTGATGAGTAGGATTCACCTGTTGATGAACATTTGAATTTTTTCCAGTGTTTGGCAATTATAAACATTTGTGTTTTACGGAACATAAAAATCCCCTAGGAGGGAGGTTGCTGGGTTGCACCGTCTGTGCTTAATTTTATAGGAAACTGCCTAAGTGCTGCCGTCCTGCGTGGCTGCACATTTTGCTTTCCCACCAGCAACGTACAGGAGTTTCGGCTACTCTCCATCCTCACCCACATGTTGTATCATCTGTTTTTCCCTCCTTCGCTGGATAATTTTTAAAGTGAAGTAGATGATGTTGAAGCTCAGATATCCCAAGACCAGCTTAGGAAGCTACAGATATTTTGTAAATGCCTCAGCCTTTTGCTCTTAAAATATTTAATAAAGCCACAAAAATTTTCCAAAAGGGCACCTTCCTTATAAATGTTACAAATGACTGAGATATATGTCAGTGACAACTGCTTCTCATGTTTTTTTCACTGACGAGTCATAAGTGGCTTTTAAGTGGATTGTTAACTGAGAAGGTCAAAGCAAGAGGAGTAATTGACCAATGGGGGTGGGGGGATGAGAAGAGGGGAGACAACTGGGCTTAGGTGTTGACACTTTCAAATGATGCCCTGTAAGTAAATATCTACAATAAGTTGTGAACATAAAGATAATTACTTAATATTCTCTGAATGTGTATTATGGTCAGATACGCCATAAGCACTTTTGATGCTGTATCCCATTTAGTTGTCATGTAACTCTATGAGGAAGTTAACGTTTTCATCTGGATTTTTCAGTTGAGGGAACTAAAGCCTAAGGGAGTTTAAAAACTTTTCCAAGGAGGAGTTTGGGATTAACAGATACACACTACTATATATAACATAGATAATCAACAAGGACCTACTGTACAGCACAAGGAATGCTACTCAGTACTCTGTCAGAACCTGTATGGAAAAAGAATCTGAAAAAGGATAGATCTATATGCATAACTGAATCACTTTGCTGTACACCTGAAACTAACACAACATTGGAAATCAACTATATTCCAATATAAAATAAACATTAAATATAAAAAAAGATGAAAAAAAAAGAACAGACATATACCGAAATAGATTAGAAGAGAATCCAGAAATTTACCCAAAAACAGTCAGTTGATTTTTGATAAAGATAAAATTTAATTCAATGTGTAAAAATTAATAATTTCAATAAATGGTGATAAAAGAATTGAAAAAAAAAAACTTTTCCAAGCCTGCTCAGCTAGTGGGGAAGTAAAATAGTCCTGTGGGCAGTACCGAGTCCGAAGCCCTCATCTTTAAGCCATGGAGTCACACTGCCTCTGTTTGTGGAATAAATCTATTGTGACAACATCTGCTTAGGCTCCTGAAGGACGCACCTGGGGGCTCATGGCAGGAGTCACCTGACTGTTACTTAGTCACTTACTTTGGAAAACCCCCGTTACTAAATGAGCTTGGACCCAAGAAACTAGGCTTGGAAGTCCATTCAGAATGCAGCAGGAGACAAAGTGGAAATTTGGAAAGAGCCCAAGCCCCGTGGGTTGGGGTCCATGACCATCACTAACGAGCTGTCTTTGCTTGACCTTGGGGAGCTCATTCTCTCATCTGTAAAATGGGAACAATAACACTTAACCGCCTCAGGTGTTCATGAGGATTATTAAAGGCAGCATACCCCAGCCTGCATGTGGTGGGCTGTCATCAGATCCCGGTCCCCTCACTCTTCCCCAAATGGGAAGGGATTCATGTGATTTGCACCACTCTGCAGTTGAGCTGCTATACTGGTCATTGGGTGAAACCTTCAGCTGTTTTCAAAGTTTCAAATTATACCAGTGAACTATGAAGATAGATTTTCTCATTACAAAGACACTTGGATTTGGGGTTCAGTCTATCTGGGTTCAGGTGATAAGATTAACTTATGATCTTGAAAAACATGTCACTTTTCTGTGACTTGGTTGCCTTATACCTACATATAGACAGATATAGATATATAGGTAATAATTATAGCACAGTGTGTTGGGGTGATTAATTCTGACAATATATGGAAAATAATTTTTGGTAAATGGCACAGTGCTTTGTCAATAGTATATATTTTACATTGTGTTTGTACTAGGATTTCAATCCTTTTTTCCCCCCCAAACTAAATAGTTTTTATTTCATATCTAAGAGCTTGCTATAGCACTGGCTATGATATAAATATATTTGTGTATACAAATGAGTAGCATTTAGAAATGAATAAAAATTAATTCTACTTTAAAAATCTTAGATTATTTCTTGCAAACAGCATTGCAGTTACTTGGGCTCCATGTTAACGTGCATGCCTTTTGATATACTGTACATCATTTTCAGGTAAACTGCACAGTCACCTGAGATTTAGCCAGCTGACACTGGATGTCACCATTGTGCCGTGTAATGTCGCTGCAGAACAGGTGCTATTCAGCATTCAGTACGTGACCAGTCTCTTCAAGTGTCTGGAGATATATTAGCTTTTCTCCCCCCTCACATAACCTAATTACCCTTGTAGCACTTTTATTGTAAATTACTCTTTCAGTTTCTAATATCAAAGCTCTCTATCATAGTGACCAAGAATGATGAGACAATTGTCAATACTGTTAGCTCAGAACTGAGGAGGTGAAAACTCAGAAACTGTGCGAAAACAGGGCTCTCGGTCACTAAGCAGAGTCACTGACTCTGGCTAACCTAAGTAGGAAAGGAATTTACTGGAAGTAAATTCAGCTTCCAGAATCGATGGGAAAACTAGGTATGGAAATGGGAGAATCCAGTCCCGGTACCTCAGCAAAGATCAGTCTGTAACAAGAGGGGGATAGACTTCTTCTGGCATTGCCACTGGTCACTAGATACCACGCTGGTGTCCCTGCCGCTGGACGCAACGCACTCTCTGTGCCAGACTCCTTCCTGCCCAGAATAATGATGGGATTTTCACTGCCTCCAGCTTAACAAACCCGAGGGACAATCCTTTGCTGGCCTTTCCCCGAGGGAGCGCTCAGTTGGCTGAGTCTAGGAGTTGTTCCTGTGCTCCAGCCCCAGGGAGTGAAGGAGAAGTAAGGGATCTTTCCTGCAAAGACTCATGCAGATGGTGACCCTACATACCTGGAAGGGAGATTCAAGCCAGTCGTCCACCACGGTGCTTTTCAATCAGTACCCACAGAAGTGAGTTGAGAATGCTGCCGTGTGGTCAGCTGCCCTTCGCTACTCCTTCCATGGACCTGGACTCAGTTGCATGCGCCCTGTGGCACCTGACAGCATCCCAGACTTTGCTGTGCCTGTCTTTCCTTCAACCCTGAGGGGGGCCTTACCAGCCAGGGCTAGACCTGTTTTAAGTGGCCAAGGAGAAAACTCCTTAGGCAAATTGAAAGTCTTAAGTTTCGGTTTATTAAAAGAAAAATTCCTGCCCATTAAAAGAAAAAAAAAAAAAAAGGTAGGCCACACTGCATACCTTGTTCTTAGAACATGACTTCAAGCAAGTTCCAGCCTCAGCTCTTGCTCTGCCCTTTGCCTGGAATCCTCTTCTCCCAGATGGCCACACGGCTTCACCTCCTTCATTCACGTCTTTTGCTTAAATGCCACCTCTTCAGATCGGCCTTCTCTCAGCACCCATCCAAAACAGTACCGCTTTTTATTCTGTTACCCTGCCTCCGCTTTTCTTCATGACACCA